TATGGTTAAAAGACTGGGTCAATTTACGGAACAAAAGAACTCTAGTCTTGGAAGGGCACGACCTTCAGAGAGGATGGCACGCATTTCTATGGGATGTGGGGAAAACTAAACAGGCGTACTTTCATAGACATCTTATTAGAGATTCACTATTAACTAATTGGAAAAAAATATGTAAAAAACATTATTTAAAAATTCCGATTTGGCTTTCAACAATGGAGGCAATGGTTCATCCCAACAATTTGGATATAACAAAAACGACTAAATATAAAGATTTATTAGACCCTTTAGGGAAATTAAGAACTCGACAGGACTTACAGGAACAGGGATTTAAAATTGATCAGTGGTTATATATACAAATCCATAGTAGATACAAACAAGATATCAAAGAGTTTGGAATCTATAGCAAATTACAACACTTAGATAAAATCTTATTAGGATCAAATAAAAAGAATATCTCTAAATTTTATAAATATTTATTGGAGGTAGAATTAGAGCAAGAGATAGTGAAAGGGAACATGATAATGTGGAGTAGGAATATTGGAAGAAGCATTACATTAACAGAATGGGAAAAGATCTGGAATAGAATCATTAAGATTACGAAATCTGCGGCGTACAAAGAAAATATGTATAAAATGTTATATAGATGGCACTTATCCCCTTCGAGGTTAGCGAAAATGAACCCAAACTCTAGTCCAAAATGTTGGAAATGTAAAAACATAGAGGGAACCTACTTTCATATGTGGTGGACCTGTAAAGAAGCCCAGAAATACTGGCAAAAAATTAGAAAATGGCTGGAGGAGATAACCAAAGAACAAATCGAATACAAACCAGAGTTCTTCCTACTAGGGATCTCTGATAAACATTTTCCTAAAAAGACGAAATATATAATAATTCATATTCTAACTGTGGCCAGATTAGCATTTGCCCAGTGCTGGAAATCATCCTGTTTACCTACAGATCAATTGGTCATTCAGAAAATATGTGACTGCGCAGAAATGGACAATTTAACCATAGCTCTTAAAAATAAAGAGTCTTCAGCATTTGATAATAACTGGAATGCGTGGTATAATTGGTTATATCAGAGATAAACTGTTCAAGGAATAATGGGTAATTTAAGCATAAATAGTAATAAGATGTGTATATTTAAAGTAAGGTAGGAGAATTGGATCTTGCAGACTGTCAAAAAGAATATCTGTTTGGTTTTAACGTATTTTCTTTTTTCTTCCGTCTCTTTGTTTTTTTTCTCTTTTATACTTCTTTTTCTCCTTTCTCGGTCGCAAGACCGAGCGTTTTTTCTTTTTCTTTTCCTCTCTCTTTCTCTTCTTTCTTTCTTCTTTTTTTCTCTCTGTTGCATATGTAATGTTGTTATGTTATTTTTTAATTGTAAATTCAATAAAATTAAAAAAAAAGAAAGAAAGGGTTCACTCCCTTTTCCCTTCACAACCCCAGGCCCCTTGCCCCTTCAGAGAGGATTTCATCTACCCCAGGAGCATAGGGCCCTCTCCACCCACTTAGAATGGGAGGATTATGGGGAGGATGACTGTGCTGACCCTTCTGTGCACAGTCACTCCCCTCATTTAGATTGGGAAGAGGGGGAGATCTGGAGCCCTAACCTCTCAGAGGAGGAAGAATCTCACCCAGATCAACCTCTCTCAGCAACAGTCTTCAAACCAGCCTTATTCAAACCACTGCTACATAAGGCTCTGGTTACAGCCAAGCTGTCCCCTGAGGAAGTGTCCCCCAAACTACAATGGGAACCCTCTGGGCAAGGAGACTCCCTTTTTTCCAAGCCAGTAGTTTACATGGAGGTCTTACCCTCACCTCTATTATTTCTCAACCTGGTCAGGGAACTGTGTGCTTCCCCCACTGCAGGTCCTCTCCCTTCATCTCATGATAGACAATTTTACAATGTGGGCCCATCACTAGACAATGCTCTTGCAGTGCCTCCTGTAGACGCTTCAGTCATGGCCTCCTTCTCCTTCTCTGGCACCCCCATCAAGCCAGAGGATATACTTAAGCCCGAGGACAAACACTCCAAACAGACACTCAAATGCAACCACCAAGCAGCTGCATGGGCTGTCCAGGCTTCGACCGCTGAATTGTTTTTCACAGGGCCTCGCTCTGCTGGCTGCACCAACTACAAGGCTGGACCCAGGCATCTGACTTCAGGTCTCACCAGGACCTCAACAAAATAATAGCAGCAGTGGAATTTATGGTGGATGCCACCCTTAATTCCACCAAGTTTGCAGCCAGAGCCATGGCCTCCTTGGTGGCAGAGAGAAGGCTCTTATGGCTTTGGAATTGGTAGGTGGAGTCGCGACAGAAGTGGAAACTGGCTTCGGCTTCCTGTACAGGTGAAAGTTTCTTTGGCGATGCACTAGAGCCACATCTCATCAAGACCAGGGACAAATGGAAGATTCTTTCTTCATCAGGAAAGAAAACTGACTATCTCCCTGCTCCATACCATCCACTGACATTTCGGCCTGAGACTACCCCCCATTTTTCCCACCCACAGAGGCCATATTCCCAGTGACAAGATCAACTCCCAGATGCACCCAGCAGACAAAAACCTTCTGCGGGTAAATGGCCCTTTCATGGGGGAGGGGGTTGTTCCTTCTGTCGCTCTAAGTAATCCCTCATTCCCTTCACCTATCGGAGGTCGGTTAGCTTATTTCGCCTCCAGATGGGAGGAATCAATGATGGACACCTGGGTACTCAACACTGTATGGTCAGGGCTGCAGTTGGAATTTCTCTTGCCACCCCCAGAGAATTTTGTGTTTTGTGGCACAGTTCAAAAGGGGCCCTTATGGAATCGGCCATTCAACACCTAGTTGACATCAGGGCCATTCAACCTGTCCCAGAACATCAATGTGGAGATTTTATTCCTGACTTTTCATGGTCCTAAGACCTCGGGGGATTGGCAAACCATCCTTGACCTCACATTTGTGAATGAATTTATCCCATACAGGCGCTTCAAAATGCAGACCCTGCATTCTATTTTAGAGAGCATCCGGGAGGGTGATCTCCTCTCCTCCATTGACCTTACGGAGGCCAACCTCCATATACCCATTGTGCCTCACTATCACCAGTTTTTTCCATTTCTGTTACCAGAACAATCACTTCCAGTATCAAGCCCTCCCCTTCAGGCTCTCTTCAGCTCCAAGAGACTTCACAAAGATCCTAGCAGCATTGGTGGTTTTGCTTTGGTCCATTCCAGTGAGGATCCAATGCTACCTGGATGACATTTTGATACAGTTGTCCTCCACCCACTCGGCCCATTGAGACCTGCAAATTACACTTTGCTGCCTTCAGGACCACGGCTTTTTCATCAACACCAGGAAGAGCCAACTTACTCCTACAACCAGATTGCTTCACCTGGAGGCTGTCATCGACACAACCCTGTGCCAAGTCTTTCTGTCTCAAGTCTGGGGGAAAAGCCTCACCAAAATCATCCATCAGGTTCCACATCAACACACTGTTCCCCTGGCACTGCTTTCCAAATTATTGGGAAAGATGATCTCGTGCATCGGCATCATCCCATGGGCACAGCTTCACTCCCAATCTCTACAATGGTTCCTTCTCCCTTTTCAATGAGCAGGAACCAGCCAAAAATTTATTAGGGTCCAACTCACTCCACAAGCCCTACGTTCCTTCAAGTGGTGGCTCTCCTCGGCCCTCCGGAAGGGACTCTCATTCAAGGAGCTGTTATTCACCATGGACTCCAGTCTTCTGGGTTGGGGGGGACAGATAGCTCAGGGTATTTGGTCCCGGATAGACAAAAACTGCCCCATAAACTGGCTAGAGCTCAGGGCCATATCTCTAACACTGAAGCACTTCAGGGCCACAGCAACTGGATCCCTTTTACTAATGTTGACAGAAACATGACTGCAAAGGTGCACATCAACAGGCAAGGGGGAATGAGATCCAGGACCTTCATGAGGGAGGCCGAACATTTGGGGCTGTGGGTGGAGAGACATTTATTGTCGATAATGGCAGATCACATCTCAGGAGTCAACAACTCCCAAGCCAGCGGGCTAAGCCAGAGCTCAGTCGACCATGCAGAATGGCGCCTCCGCCCATCCCTTTTCAGAGACCTTTGCCTGAGGTTTGGGACCCCAGAAGTGGATCTCTGCTGCACTCCCCCAAATGCCCAAGTAAACAGATTTTTCACCAGGTTTCCTTGTCAGGGAGCAGAGGGGACCAATGCTCTTTGGTGCAGATGGCCTGGGGGTCTCCTTTATGCCTTCTCCCTCTTCCCATAATTCTGGCAGTCATTCAAAAGAGTTGGAGGAACGGGTGGAGCTAATTCTCTTGGCCCCCTATTGGCCATGGAGGCCCTGGTTTGCAGAACTGGTGAACCTGTCTGTAGCCTCTCCATGGAGGATCCCAGCCTACATGATTTCCCTCCACCAAGGAGCCTTGCTCCATCCGGATCCCCAGTGGTTCAAACTGACAGTGTGGTGCTTGAGCAGCAACAGTTGAGAGAGGCTAATCTCCTGGAGAGAGTTATTCTCACCATCCAGGCATCTTGCAAACCATCCACAATGCGCATCTACGATGCCACCTGAAAGGTTTTTTGTCAATGGTGTCGTAAGGAGGGTCTTTCACCCACCTCAGCTCAACTAGCAGATTCTATATTTCCTTCAAGAGGGCCTAGAGAAGGGACTAGCCTCTAATCCCTTACAATGCCAAGTTGCGGCCCTTTCCTCAGTGCTATCCTGGGACTCATTTCCTTTCTTGTCTCACCATCCTTCTGTCAGGAGATTTTTAAAAGGGTCTTCTAACCTTCATCCCCCGATAGTACACAGGTATCCTTCACGGGACCTTTCTAAGGTGTTTCAGGCCCTGACAGAACTACCATTCGGACACTTAGGACAGTGTCTCTGCAATTCTTGACACTAAAGGTGGTTTTTCTGGTATCAATCACATTGGCTAGAAGGGTGTCGGAACTGGCTGCCCTCTCAATCAGGCAGGATCTATGCACCCTTCATGATAATAGAATTGTTCTCTGTCTAGATCCCACCTTTATCCCAAAAGTCAATAACTGGTTCCATAGGTCCCAGGATATTATGTTGCCAGATTTCTGCCCCTTCCAGACCACAACTTAGAGTGAAGTGGCACACCTTAGATGATAGGAGAGAGCTTAGAATTTACCTCAAGCGGACTTCCACATTTATGAAAACTGAAGCTATGTTTGTCTCCTTTTCCCCATCTCACTTGGGGAACAAGGCCTCTCCTCCCACCTTAAGCAGGTGGGTCAGGGCATGTATTGCACAGGCCTACAAGGCTATCGCTCTTCCGGTGCCTCAAGGGCTGACTGCACACTCTACCAGAAGTGCTGCGACTTCAGCTGCCTGGGCCAACCAGGTACCCCTGGAAGAAATTTGCAGAACGGCCACATAGGCACTCCCATCACCCTTCATCAGACATTACTGCCTGGATTCCTTTGCCTCTGTGACTGTGGCCTTTGGCAGATGGGTTCTTCAGTGAGGGATTCCGCAATTGGAGTGATCACCGGACAAAAACCCTCCCATGGATATGGAGGCTTCGCCAAAGCTGGGGACACTCCCAGGGGCTGGCCTTTTATATACAAGAACAGACTCAGCTTAATGACATCATCAGGAGGAGTCTAACCCATCCTGGGCTCTCTAGCAGCATAGATAGAAAGGGCGTTCTCAGATAATTATACTAATGTCCATTTCAGATTTTAGATACACTCTGAAAGTTAGCACATTTGAGGTAACTTAGTTGAAAATGTTTTGCCTTGTGGTAGACCATTTCACGCAGTTAAAGATTACAAGATTAAATACAAGAGATTTATTAGCATATAGATATAAAAGAACAATATTGTATGTGTTGTGTTTATGCAAAATATTTGTTTTGATGTGTGCATAAATGTGAAATGCATACAAAAATACAGAACAAGAATAATTTAAATGTTTATTGAATCATTACCATATTTGCGTCTGTGTATATCTTCATTCTGCATACAGATGACAGGTAGAAATAATTTTGAAATATAATATTTCCTTATGTGTGGACTCAACTAATTCTATTTGTTACAACCTGTTATAGTATCTGCAAAGTACATTGGGAGTTCTTCAGATATCCTAATCTTTCTTCTTTAATCAGGGATTACTGAGGGCCAATATAGTATGATACAAATTAAAACTAATAACCACTATATTTTTACTGAGACTATCTGTATTCCCCCATTAGTAATTGCCACTCTGCATTGAAGTAATCTAACAATAATTATGTGAAATAGTTTGGAAAAAAAAATCTGATTTATTGAATTTCTGTCTTCCAATCAGCAGCTACCTCACAACTAATATATGCCTTTTATTAGCTTGGTTGATAAGGCAACAATGTAAGCACATAATATATTGGACATGAGGTATAGGGAGTAAAGAGTATTAAATTGCTTCAATTAAAATTATGAAGTCATTAATACATTATAGAAATTTGCAACTAATTAAATATTTAAAATAAAATTGTATGCCTCCACTTGTTAATGTAATGTGCTTTCAGACTCCCCCCCCCCCCCCCCCCTTATATATCATGGGAGATCCAGTTTTGGAAGTAGTTATTGTTTTGTTTTACTTTTATGGGAGAAAATCAGCTTTAAAGAGGGTATGGGTGAATATTAAGTTGTTGACAATTTTTCTATTTACTCATCCTGTTTAATCCTGCTTGCTATATTAAAGGTCAAATAAAATCAGTGTAGAGCATTTACAGGTATACTCTGGAAACAGTAAACAACTAAATTTTCTTTTCATTTCATCTTGATGAATCTTCTTTCCAACTTGTGAAAATTGTGTTTGTCATACCGTGTAACAATGATATCAAGTGTGTTAAAAATATAATGAGGTGGTATTAACAGTATGCAAGGCTGAGCACACATGGTGCAGTGAATTTGTAAACACAACAACCGAGATAATATTAAATGTAATCAATATTTCGATTCAATTTTAATTTGCTTAAACCACATACAAAATTTAATTTTTGTTGAACATCTGTCAGTATTTGAGAATTTCTGCCCTTCCTAAACTACCTCATAGGATATGTGCTTTACGAAGTTTAAAATTAGAATTTTCTTTATATTGCCATACCCTCAAAAACTTTATTGTGTAGCACGTAAGAAAGAATTCATCTATATGATCAGAGAAACTGCACAGAATTACTGAATAAATCTTAATACAGAAACTGGAAGCTAATCCTATACCATAAAAATTAATCATATCTACCATATGATATGGTTTATCATAGGTTAGAAAATTACCTATTGAATGATGGATTAATCGTTGAGTGAACGGTACATGTTTCAGTATATGTGACAAAGAAAAATATGAATTAATGTGTAAACCAATTCACCTGACAATTGTGCACATTTATTGTGCCTTATTGACAATGTGCATTTAATCTGCTATTTATGTGCATATTTCCTACACAATGTATATTATATTCTCTTCAACAAGTGTTGAGAAATATTCCAACAACATTTTGAAATTTCTTGAAATTATATGTTTAATCTCTAGTTGGTTTTTCTAAATGTTCATCCCCTGGCAGAACTGTATGCGTTCTTTAGGCATTTCTTCACAGTCTGGTAACAATCACCTACTGGGATCCATTTAACTTTTTTCTCCAAATTTAAACGCTCCTCAAAAGAAAATTTACATTTAGAATCATATAAGTTAACCTCATGCTGTTCAGCTAGCTGATAAAGAACAGCTGGGTGATGAACAAAGGAGCATTCTCTTCACATGTTATTTCCATGGATTTAATTAAATTAATAGGTCTCATATATCCTGTGTATTATTCCTATCTAAAACAGAATAAATATCTTAAAAATGCTGGAATCTATGCATGAATATGAAAAAATGTACACATCCCATCAACTTACATTTCAGTTAATCAAATTAGCATTCACTTATGTACCTAAAAGGCCATTTAATGATTGTTTTACAAATCTTCCTAATTTTAGTTTGCAAAAGGATACTTCTTCTGTAAAAGGTGATAATGACTATGATGATGACACTGACAATGATTTGTATTTTTATTTTAAATGCATACATAATTTTTATTGACTCTGTTATTGCAAGCATGGAAACTTATCAGAGAGAAGGAAAGTCATCAGGGAGGGAGTCAGATTGTCAGTGAGCATTACTTCATATTGGGAAGTCTGGAAGGCTGTATAAGTGGTTTGAACTGGATCAAAAGATAGAACTAAACTTAGTATGTTGTGCCTGCAACAGGACATGCCAAATTTGGAGTAAAGGCACACACTATCTTGGGAGAAGAGTAGGATCTCTGTCAGGAAAAAGGTGGGATAGCTCAAGATGATTATTTGGGATAGTAATGTTCTCTTTTCCTCTTCACACAAAATGACAAGACTGTTTTATGTTTCTTAAAATATCAATCCTGTTTGTGAAGGCAAATCTGAAGTCTCAGATTAAGCCTGGCTGTGCAGATAATTTAGAGAAATTGTAAATAGGTATCTGCATTAGGAGGAGATAAAAAAATCCACTGCATTGCAGTAGCTGGTTTACAATGCTTTAAAGAGGAAATAATGCCAATTTTTGACATGAGTATTTTTGACATTTAATGCTACCAGGAGAACTTTCCCAGCAAGAATAATATAAACCAATTTTCATAAATCATGGATTGAAACTGGGAATGAATCAGGATGGCCTACCTGCAGAAGAAGGTAGCATGGGTTAGGCAATCTCCAGAATTTTAATGCATCCTCTACATAGCACTAATTCATATAGCATAGAATAGAATTCTTTATTGGCCAAGTGTGATTGGACACACAAGGAATTTGTCTTGGTACATATCAAAATAAGTCTGTCAATAAGTTTCTAATTTAAAATTATCATATCAATTCAGTCTTGGGAGAAGGGGACTTCTTAATACAGGAATTCTTTTGAATTATGACCAGCAAAGCAATGAGAATAAATGAAAGCAAAACAACTGAGGTGAAAGATCAATATTATCCAGGAATGAGTTCGGAAGGAATGAAGTAGGGTGGGGTGGGGCATGAAGGTGAGGAGAGGAAGGAAGGAAGGAAGGAAGGAAGAAAGAGAGATAGAGAAAGAGAAAGAAAGAAATTTAATGGAAGGAAATATAAAACTTCAGCAATAAAAAAACCTGGAATCCTTCGAGTGGGTGGATATGGTATTGAACACACAGTGAAGCTGTTAATTGTTGCTCCTGTGGACTTATCAAGAGACTGCTTCGGGGACCCTTGGGTGGAAAAGTTTCTTCGGTTGGATGAAGCAAAATGAGCAGCTTAATACCTGGGGAATATTGTTCTGAAACACTATGCAGCAGGTAAGCCATTTAAATCGCAGTATGCAGCTCATGTGTGCAAAGGGTTTTCTTTGCTGCTGATGAATAAAATGCATAGGTTCTTTTGTTAAGTAAGAAATATGAAGACAGATTTTTCACATTTGGGTAATTTCTTGGAAAACAGGTGCATAAAATATGTGCTGAGAATTAAGAATTAAGGGAAGAATTCAAAAAGAAGGTAGGCTTTGAGAACTCCATTGAGATAAATAGTTGGTGTTTTGCAGTGTATATATTGTACCATAAGGCTGAAGAAATAAATACCAACTAAAATGCTGTTATTTGCTATACATATTAAATTTTCCTTTTCAGTGCCTTACTAAAACAATAACGCTTGTCAGAAACAAGTAAATCATAAATTGTTACCTCAGGCTACTGTTTTTTCTTCTTTTTCTGATAATTAGAATATAGAGTTTCTTTCAAAATAAATAATTCAAAAAATTACCTTTAATCTTGTTGGTTATCTAACAGTCTACCGTCAACTGTTTTGTATATATTGGACACTCAAAATTTCAGAGGGATGAAAATATAGGAAGGTTTCAAACTCCTAAGAAAAAGAATTGGTCTACTTACCATGAAAAAAAGTTTATAATAGAATGTACCTGGTAAACATAAAAATAAGACCGCAAAAATACACAATTCATCTTGATTTCAAAAAAGCATTTAAGTATTTAAAAAAATAATACTGCCAAAATAAATAATAAACAAATGGACTGAGTGTACTCTTCAGTGCTTTGATATTATAAATATATTTCTAAGCACTTTTTGGTTATTTGCCCCACTAGCAGATCCAATAAAATATATAGATGTTACATTTTTGCAGAGTGGAGATGTGCCTTTGAGACAGTGTTCACTCCTGGAAACTACCTAGACAAGTCCCCACAACTTTCTTATCAAGATTTTAGGAAGTTATTTGCCATCTACCCCTTCCTACGATTAAGAGAGAGAGAGTGCCTGGTCAAAGGTCATCCATCTGTCTTTGTGCCTGAGGTGAAACTCACAGTCTGCCGTTTTCTAGCCTTGAGCCTCAGCCACCAAACCAAACTAGCTCTCATTACATATTTACCCTTCAATTAAAAATAACTTTC